AATGGCAGGATTGTATTGTCCACAAATCGTAATATATTTACTATCTTATTTTTCAAATATATTTTTATTTATTTCAGAGAGGAAGGACGAGGGTAAGAGGGATAGAAACATCAATGATGAGAAAGAATCATTGATCGGCTGCCTACTGAATGACCAACACTGGAGATTGAGCCTGCAACCCAGGCATATTCTCTAATAGGAATCCAATGGTGACCTCCTGGTTCATGGGTCAATGCTCAACCACTGAGCCATGCCAGCCAAGTTACCATCTTACTTTTTACAACAAAAATTTTGTTGGCCCCTGATATAGGCCATCAAGAATGCTGAAAATTTTACAAATAGATGCACAGACAAGAAATATTTACATTATAATTAACAAAGCTATAAAATAACTCAAAGATGGTCAGATGATCAAAGGCACAGATAATCCAGAAAATATACCAGGCCTGGGCTATTAGGCCCATTATACGAACAGAAATTCAGACTAGAGATCCAGGGAGAATCTTGTTTTACAAACTAGGGCTAAGGTGGGGAAGAAGCTTGGATTCAAAAACTAACAGAACAAGGAGAGTGCCCTAATGCAAATCCCCAATGATTGAAATAAGGAATAAAGGAGGCTGAAGATGGCCAATTGAGTGTTTCCTACTTCAAGCCTCAGTTGCTTTGGAAATTGGGGCAGGACTGAGTCCTTGGGGTAGATCAGCAAGCCCAACTATGGGGAGGCTGGGGCAGGCAGAGACTGATCCCATCCATTGTCTTGGTTTCAACTATTATAGGCTAAAGACTCTCACATCCACATTTTTAGTCCTGAAATTTCCTTCGAGACTCATATTAGAGCTATACAATTTCCTAGTGCTGTCCCAATAGGTACTTGAAATTTAAAGTGTCCAAAATTGAACTTTTTAAAAACCCTAAACTTACTCTTCCTCCTATATTCACTATCTGTTGGTAACACCACAATCAACCAGACATGCAATCGAGAAACCTGATCTCCTTGATTTATTTCTCCTGGTGTATTGACACATCCAATACTACCTGACACACCCAATGAATGTTTTAAACCTATTATTTTCTGTGTATCTCTAGAATTACTGTTTAAGATCTCACCATCTCTTCATCTACACTAGTGATATATTTTAACTAGTCATATCCTTCTGAAACTCATCCAATGGTGTGCTGGCGCTGGCTTACACTAGCTGGTGAGAACTGCTTGTGTTTATCTCTTCCAAATTCTATGTTCCATGATGTTATATTGGTAACTTGAAATTGGCCACAATGGGAATATTTACACCACAGAAATTGCCAAACACTATAAATCAAGATTTTTTGTGTGTGGAAAGCTGCTTATTAAAAATTGGAAGCACATTTACCACTGCCAATTCACCACACTTTAGCTAAATTGATCTTTTTAAAACACTTGTTTAACTATGCACCTCTTCTGATTAAAATTCTTCAGCAGTTCACTGTCGCAAAAAATAACATTAAGTTCCTTAGCATGGCAAAGAAAGCTTTTGATAATTTGGCTCCTGCCTAAATGTCCAGCTTCCTCTCACATTCTTTTATTAGTCTCACAACTTATATGCTAACTCAAAGGTCACAAACTGGTTCACTCAAGCCTAAATTCCCTCATATATGTATTTTGTTGAGCCTGCACACTTTCTCTAACTTTTTTGAGGCAACATTTAAATCTTTAAAAATTCTGCCCCCAAATCTATATTTCTGATTTATCTTGGAAAATGGCAACACTTGGCCCTCATTTGTGCTTATGACAAGAATCTGAGCAGAAGATGCTCCTCTTGAAAAGGTATGTGCTCTACAGTTCACCAGTTCCTATAATTTACTCATTAAAATTATGCATGTGCCCCCAAACCTAGTCTTCAGCTCACACTGACTCAAATTGTAGGAGCCAGGTTTGTAAAGTAGAGTCAATTTCTTAATTTGATATTTGGATACTTAATTCCCTTTTGCAGAGTGCCTGCTGTATGTCTCGTAGTGTGCTGGACACTATGGGGGAAAACACAAACAGACTAAGACAGCTCTTCCTCCAAATAACTCACAACCCTAGTGAAGGAGCAAAAAAGATACATGCGACATAATTAGAGAACAACAAGATATTGGGTGTAACCTACTGCCCACAACAACTGGGTGGTCTGCAAGGGGTGGGATCAAGTTAAGACAAGGAGCTATTGAAGGATCCAGGGCTTACAATGACCCTTTTCTGGAAGAGCAATGAGGTAGACCATTCCATACAGGGATCCCACAAGGATGTACACACAGAAAGAATGACTGAATTAGATATGGCAACCTGTGAATGATAAGGCTGCCAGAAGAAGAAAAGGCAGTCTGGGTAGGAAGACATGGTTGGTCATTGTGGGCCAGTTTTCTTTTGAAAATTTTTCATCTTTGGTGTCATATACCCAGAAAGCTAAAAGGAGAATCAAAGACTCCTTGTTAAGTACTAAGTCAAAGACAATGGAATCGGTGGTTCCAAAAAGCATTTCATATTCTAGGCATAGACAGCAACCTTTCAGCTTTATGACACAAGTGGGGCTAAGCAATATTCACAAGTACTACTGTTTGTCTTGGACAGGCCTGGAAGCATTGATATAGAAAGAAGGAAAGAAGGAAATAAAAGAGTAGGAAAAACAGAAAGAGCATGGAAGTGGAGAGAAAGGGCAGGAAGAACACCGTGGTAGGAAGCAAACACATACCTCCAATCTAACCCAGGGAATCCTGTGCTACAAACTATTTTTTCTTCACCTCCCACTTCCTGCCTCTAAATCTTGACAGAGATTGAGGAATGCCCGTGCCCACTGATAACTGGCAGGTTCCCAGATGTAAACTTCTTTCTTCCTGGGCCAACTGTGATGCATTGTTCACTTAGCATCTCTCCCAACTCTAGGCTTTATGCTGGTTGTGGTATTTATTTTCATTACCAGGCCCACTCAGACCTACTTCTTCCTTAGCCTGTAGGCTTATGTTAATTGCTGAGATTATTCTATCCTGTGTCCAATTTACTTTATGAGCCAGTTGCTCACTTCCTGCTGTCTCATTTGTAGCTGCTCTCTATAAATGTTTAACAATGTTTACTTGCTGCTCAATCCAAGCCATTGATGACCAATGTGCAGCCAGCTCTCAACTATTCAGAGGCTGATGCAACCACTCCCTGAAGGAAACAGATTTCTTGTGTATTCCTCCCCCTCTTTCTCTTCCACCTTTTTCCTATTCCCTCCTTTCTGACCACTTCCCTGCTTGGGGATCTTCCATCCAAGGTGGAAAATAGGTAAAGATGATGAAAAACTATAACTCATCCTTTTGTCAGTTCTCCAGCAATTCTGGGTTTTTAAAAAATTTAAGAGTAAAAAGAAACTATAGATTAAAATAATATTTGTCTATTCTGCGAGAATCTCAATTATCCATGTTCTCCCCCAGTTACACTTGAGTTCCCAGCTCAATACATTTTGTATTGAGATCAATATTTCACTACTTTCTGGAATCCTACATATGCTTTGAATACTCAGCTCCACACCTCCATGAGGCCTTCTTGGATTATTCCAGTCCTCCTTATTATCTAGCACTAGATCCTGTTACACAGAGACTCTTTTGTGGGTCTAGTGAGCTGCCTAAGTTTTACTATTAGATTGCGAACAAACTGGGTCCCAATATACATTTACAGTTGAAAAGTTGTTTCTTTATTGACCAGTTTCTGCACTCACCCAGAGATGCTCCTAAATTCCCAAAGAACTCCATACCTTTCGCCTGTACCTGCTATTTACACCAAGCATCACATAATGGACATGGCAATTTTATCAAAAGTCCTTTTGTTATTGGTAGTCCCTCCCTAAGCCTGGAGGTCCTCATTTATAGACTACTTCTTCCTGACAATAACAGATTATCTCTACCTTGTTGGGACCTGCAGGAAGTTGTAAGGAACATTGGCTTTAGTCTTTGGTCCCCTGAAGTTCTATATATATATAGTATAGGTTGGTGCACAGTGCACTGGTGGGTCCCTCGGCCTGGCCTGCGGAGATCGGGCTGAAACCAGCAGTCCAACATCCCCCAAGGGGTCCTGGAATGCAAGAGGGCACTCTGAAAAGTTGCTGTCATTCGGCAGATCCTGGGTTGAGCATCTGCCCCCTGGTGGTCAGTGCACATTATAGCTACCAGCCGGTTGGCCAGTTGGCTGGTCAGCTGGTTGCTCAAGCTTTTATATATATAGATACAAAGTCAGTGCAATGATTTGAGGGTATCTTCACTTTAGCTACCAGGGCTTTAGTGACATGGTCTTTAAAATTACTGGTTGTCATTAGCCTTTCAATGAATAACCAAAGAACATATATGCATGCATATATGCATAGCCCATGGACACAGAATATACTGGGGTGAAGGCCTGGGGTGGGGTGAGGGCTTGGTAGAGGGGAGCAAAGGAGGGGAAGATGGAGGACATCTGTAACACTGTCAACAAGAAAAAATATTCCTGCAATCTCTGTTGCTCCTTTGGAAATGAACACAAACTACCATGTACTCCTACTCACCAAGTTTGTGATCTACCAAACTCCATTCCAGGAGGTCAGGAAAAATGTCCTTTACTTCTCTGTATCCCCATTGTGCCTTCGATAGAATTGGGCATATTGTGGTTGCATAATTTTAAGAGGGGAGATCTAAAGACATATTGCCTGAGTTTGAATCTTGGCTCTGCTACTAAAAGCTGTGTAATCCTAGGTATGTTTTTAACTTCTATGTGCCTCAGCTTATTCATTTAAGGGAAATATATATCCCAAAAGGTTGTTGTGGAATTAAATTAGTAAATAAATGTAAAGCATTTAGAACAGTGCTTGGCATACAATAAGCATTCCACAAATAGCCAATATGATAAGGAGTGGAATTGACAAAGGAATGTTAACTCCAATTCCCAAATCACTAATATTTGATAGGCCTTGTGCTCCCTCTTTCTCCAATACTAAATCCTGCTCTTATGCTTTTTGTTTTATTTTACCTAGGTTCCTACTCTGATGATGGACACCCAGTTCTCTGAGTTCACACCAGACATCACTCCCATAATGCTAGCTGCCCACACCAACAACTATGAAATCATCAAATTGCTTGTCCAAAAACGGGTCACTATTCCACGGCCTCACCAGATCCGCTGCAACTGTGTGGAGTGTGTGTCCAGTTCAGAGGTGGATAGCCTGCGCCACTCCCGCTCCCGTCTGAACATCTATAAAGCTCTGGCAAGCCCCTCACTCATTGCCTTATCAAGTGAGGACCCTATCCTAACTGCTTTCCGCCTGGGCTGGGAGCTCAAAGAACTCAGCAAGGTAGAAAATGAGTTCAAGGCTGAGTATGAGGAGCTCTCCCAACAGTGTAAGCTCTTTGCCAAAGACCTACTGGACCAAGCTCGGAGCTCCCGGGAATTGGAGATCATCCTCAACCATCGAGATGACCATAGTGAAGAACTTGACCCTCAGAAGTACCATGACTTGGCCAAGCTGAAGGTAGCAATCAAATACCACCAGAAAGAGGTAAGCTGAGTCCTTCTCTGTTTTCAGGGAAGCTTAATCCCTCCAGAGTCCAGAGTATGTAGAACAGAGTTAGCATTTTTCTACCACTAGCTCTTTAAGAAACAAATGGTTAGACAGGCTTAAGAAACAGACCCACTTATCCAAGGCACATACAGCCTCTGCATATTTTCTTTTTGGCCAGATAAGTAAGGAAAAATACTGATCACCTAGCTCTTTGATGGGAAATCACCTATCAGTTCAACAAATTATTATTTAGCTGTTCAGGATACAAAAACCAGATACTCTGTATTCATGGAGCTTACAAGCTTATGGTAGACATTAAGTAAATGATAACATTAGTGAATATATAATTACAAATCATTGTTAAGTGCTCTGAAGGATAATTTCTATGAGAAAACATAACAAAGGACCATGCCCTATATACTTGGATGTGGAGGGCAGTGATTACAAATGGCTCACTGTCTGGATGTTGGTAATTGTTGGCAAAACTAAGTCTTTGGAAGCCCCCTCAGCAAGAAGGCTGATACATGCATTTGAAATATGGAGTGTGTAATGCTGTGGAAAACAAGAGCAACCTCTCCTATGGTATGACCTTCTAACTTTTAGAGTTTACCTCCTTGAGGGAGGTCAGTTCAAGCAGAACACAGAATTAAAGGCTTTGTTTTCCACCTTGGCTGCATTTACAATCTAGCAGGTGCTATTCTATGCCATCAAATCAAACAATTTGGGGGCAGCATGGTACACTAGAAAAGGCAGGGACTTTAGAGCCAAAACAACTGAGGATGCATTTCCAACTCACCAGATCTATAACCTGAAGAAACTCAAATTTTCAGGACATTATTTTCTAATTTATAAGATGAAGATGACAATAGTTGCTCCACTTCATAGGACTATTATAGGAAATAAATTAGAAAGTGCTAGTGTGGCATAGGAAGTACATTAATGTCCATTTACATCTCTCTTCCAATGCTACCAGGAGGATGATTCAAACAGGTTGAACCAAGTAGTGGTTACCATCTGAAGGGGAACAGGCAGTGCCACCCTTTCATGGGTCCACCAAGCCCTGAGGCAAATCACATTGTATGCTCACTGGTCCCTTTATCTGACACAAGAAAAAAAATTCTATGCCTTTGAAATGAGGCAAAAATGAGTACCAGGGACAACCTTGAAGGGGATATAAAATGACAAAAGAGCAACATGAAGATCAAAAGACTGCATTGGGGGAGATAGTAAATGGATAGGCCCATCCAACTCTCCTTATCCTGTTTCTTGCCACTCATCACTTTAAGTTATTTCACTAGGCCTGAAGTTACTTAACCTCACTTTTCTCTTCCAAAAATGTGGAAAATAACAGGAACACTTACCACCCTGGAGAAATATAAAGTTTAAATAAAATAATACATAGTATACTTATGCACAATATTCAGCATACATTAGGCATTCAATAAATATTAGCTGCTATTATTATTCATTTTCATGGTGTATGGTCAGATTCTGTGTACTAAAATTGTAGGTAATAGATTATGGTCCATCCCCTCCCTTACTCCTTATTCCTTCCCACCACCCTACTGTTGATTTATAGTATCAGTTGTGTTAGTCTGTTATAAGGTCTAATTGATTTTTCTTCACTTTGTTATATTTGTATATTTCTATTAATGATGTATATTATATTTTCATTGTGTTTTTACTTTACATAAATTGTTCTAATACTGTGAGAAAAAAACCACAGGTATTTTTAGAACACAAATTGCTTCCAGGTAAAAAAATAGTTAATGGTCATACAAATGTAAAAAAAAAAAAAAATAGATACTACAGAATATAACTCGTTTGCATTCCTTACCTCACTAGGTAGCAGATAAAGTTCATAATTTAAGCCCCATCCCCCTGAAAATTGACAGAGCATTTATTTTCAAACAATTTCACTGCAATATTTCATCATTTTTGTATTAATAGATTATCTCCCAACTACTCTATCACTTGATCCCATCTGCTCATATAACCTTCATTTGACAATTTTAGTTACTTTTCCCTTTGGAAATAACTGTGATGAGTTCCTCACTCTCATGGGGATCTGCTTGGCATAGGACCATGGACTCACCCTTGGGTTCTACATTCACTGCCTTCCAACCCTCATTTCCCCCTCAGGTTTTAGTCGTTTACTTTCCTGAAACTTTGTTCCCTGTGTCTCTTATTTCAAATTTATCTTATTATTGTTATTACAGACTATCTCTATGTTGCTATATGTTCATACAATATGTTTCTCAGCTATCATTATACCGTCCTGGATGTAAGAAGGAATTATATTTCTTTTTGCTCACTTAATTAAGCACCAGAGATTCCAAAACTGTTTTCAGGGTCCATTTGCTATATACATTCAAATGGAGGAAAAAGTAATTTGTTTTATTGTAGTAAAATATGCATAACATAGAATTTATCATTTTAACCATTTTTAAGTTTACAGGTCAATGGCATTAAGTTTATTCATGTTGTTGGGCAACCATCACAACTAGGATTCATTTTTTTGAAGATGCACAAGTTTTTGGGTGTCCACTTTTCTTTCAAATGTGAACCCATACAATTAGAACTTTACGTTTTACAGACTACATTATTTTTAATCCATAACACTTACAAAGTATCACCTTTTAACTATTCAAATTTATGGATATTAAGCAGTAATACAAAAGCAATCCAAAAAGCACTGTATGCAAAAATCAACAATTTCAGGCCTGGTGGTATTCACTCATCATTGTGAATCAAATCAATGAGAACTCTGTAATATAATAGACTGATCTGTTTCAGTCAGAGCACATCAAACTCCAACTCAAATACAGCAAAAAGAGTGAGTGACTTTCAACTTCAATGTCAGTAAATTCATGGGAAATAATATACTTTCACGGTAATCTCAAAATGGCCCAAAGTTTAATCCCATGGCCAGAGACTTCAGAATTCTTTTAGGCTTTATATATGTAGCTCCAAATTTTCCAATGGAGTTAAATATATAAACAATGGCTATAGATCAATTTTAGTTTATTTTATCTTCAAACTTGGGCAAACTTGAAAAATCAGATATACCTTAAGGTTTGTACTTCAAAGACACTTCTTCCAGACAGTAAAACATGATTTATACTCATCAAAATCTATGAATCTCTTCTAAATTGTGACTTCACTTCCACTAAAGAATTCTATAATCCTTCCCAATCTCGGAAATAGTTTTTTAAATATCTGTGGTTCCACTGAGTCTCAATTGGCTGTACAATTAACCCGTGAACAATGTGGAGGTTAGGGGCATTAATACCACCCCCCCACACACACACACACAGTTGAAAATCCACCTATAACTTTTGACTCCCCCAAAACTTCATTACTAATAGCCTACTGTTGACCAGAACAAAAATGTCAATTAACACATACTTTGTACAGGTATTATATACTATATTCTTATAATAAAATAAGCTAGAGAAAAGAAACTTCTATTAAGAAAATCATAAAGAAAAGAAAATACGTTTACAGTATTATACGTAGTTAGTTTTTTTCATAATCTTTATTGTTGAAAGTATTACATATATCCACTTTTTCCTCCTATTGACCCCTTATAGCCACCCACCCTGACCCAGGCCTCCATCACTCTATTGTCTATGTCCATGGATTATGTATATATACATACAAATTCTTTGGTTGCTCTCTTCCAACCCACCCCCACCTTCCCTCTGAGATTCGACAGTCTGTTCCATACTTCTATGTCTCTAGATTCAGAGACGTATTTAGAATTTTTTTAAAAAATCCATATAGAACTGGACCTTGACAGTTCGAACATTTTGTTCAAGAACCAATTGCAATCTCTAATTGCTCTTTATTCAGTCCACATGTCTAGTTTAAGACTAAATACTCTCACCTTGAACATATCACCAATGTTCTTATTTTAAGGGTGTTTTTGTAATTTCAAGTATAGTGTATTTGGATGAGAAACACAATCCTGTGAGCTACTGGTGTTCTAATAATTCAGGTGTTTGTCAGCACTTCATTCTCAGAAGTCCTAAATCTGAGGAAGCAGACTAAGTCTGTTAAATAAATATCCACAATCTAGTCTTTTAAAAAGTGAAACATACAGAGAAAACAAGATGGCGGCATAGGTAAATACCTGAAATTGCTGCCTCACACAACCTCTTCAAAAATACAACTAAAGACAAAACGGACATAATCCAGAACCACAGGAAGGCTGGCTGAGTGGAAATTCTACAACTAGAAGTAAAGAGAAAAGCACACTGAGACTCAGAGAAGGTGCAGAAGTAAAGTGAAGAGGTACTGAGGCGCGTGCCGGAAAGGGCTGGCAACTGAGAACGCGGTTGTCTTTTTCAATTGGGAGGGAGACACATGCTCCTAACTGCTCTGAACTCCAGTTCCGGGTGAGTCTCTGGGGACCAAGACTCATACGGGGAGAAACTACACTGTCTG